GGGAAAGGTTTACAGAATCACCACATCTTAACACTATAATACTGTAGATCATTTCAATAGGGATGTAATACCCACAACAACAATAGAGGCACTGTTTATCTTTCTAGCCGATTGTTCAACGGAATACAATAAAGGAATCAGTTTTCTAATTGGTAAGGGTCTCCATTTGTCATAAGGAGTGGATAATCAGGGATTTAGACAATCATACTTTTACCTTTGTGTATTTTATTGAGAAATACAGGATTAATTTGGTACTTTTTTCAGATTACCAAACTTGGCTATGAAATGTATGTATGTACGTACGTACAGTTAGTTCATGGTCAGATACATACGTTATCTGACCATGCTAGCTTTATTAGCAGGCAGCTACATCTTGTTCAAACACAGTAGTCAGTTGGCAAGGAAAAGCTGAGAAAGAAATGGACTGGATGAGGGTAAATATCGGAATGGCTTTTAATCATTGGTGAGAGCTAAAAATAACCCTGTCAGGGTTACTGTTAATAGCTACTGCCCTGATGTTAGCTGTAGAGATCTGCTAACATGAAAATAACACCACAGCAGAGTACCTCTCTGCTAAGGCTATTTACAAGATACTTCAACATAGGCTGTAACTGTCAATGTCATTTCGTCTCACGGAGATTTGTAGTTTTTCCCAGCTGTAACACCATCTACCTCAGTCCTTCAAATAATGAAATTCATCTCACACTAGAAGGTTTGGTCAGTGTTTGTCACTGTCACACCAAATAAGCCTTTGAAGTTAGCTGAGATAGGTTTATTAGACTGTAAACTACTGCCCAATGTATATTATGTGCAGTATAAGCCTATATGTCGCCAACAATGTTTCATTGCAATACACACATCCACATTCAAACAATTGGCAAACTATCTGAAAATACAAGTAGTATTTTAGTAAAACAAAAAAAACCTCTTTTATTTTGATAATTTTCCTTGTCACAATAAAAGAAATACAGTCATATTTGTATAAAGTCCTGTAATATTTTTTTGGCTTCTGACATTTTATTTCCTGGTTTAGTAACAGCTTCAACTTGTGTGTAATTTGTGTTCATTAAGCATAAGGAGTTTTCCTCTTCTGTCCTATGGCAGCAGCATCATGTTGGTGAACCCCCCAAGCAGCAATGATGCCTGCCTCAGCATTGTCCACAGCCTCATGTGTCACCGGCAGGGTGGAGAGAATGAGGGCTTTGCTAAGCGTGCCATTGAGAGCCTGGTGAAAAAACTGAAGGAGAAGAAGGATGAGCTGGACTCGCTCATCACTGCCATCACCACCAATGGCGTTCATCCCAGCAAGTGTGTCACCATCCAGAGGACGCTGGATGGAAGGCTGCAGGTCAGTCCACCACCGATATACAGGCTTACTTTGAACAGTCAAACAAATTAAGTGACTCACCATATACTGTTGCACTACCTACCGGTGTGCTTTCTTCCTTCTGTGCTGATACAGTACATTTTCATAGGAGGTTTCCCATGTATAAGGTTGTCATTATTATTTGATGTTTCACTTTCTCACTGGTCCTTTTCACTTCTTGTGGTTTTCATCAGTAACATGATTTTTTTGTTTTTGTTTTAAATGCCTGTCAGATATCTGCCTGGATGATTCTCATCATCACGAACTCACTTTATACAGTAACCACTGATATTATGAGCCATATCTGGAACTCTTAAAATATTACATTGTAACATTAGATTAGATTCAACTTTATTGTCATTACCCATGTACAAGTACAAGGCAATGAAATGCAGTTTAGCATCTAACCAGAGGTGCAATAAGAGCAGTGCAGAGTGCATTTAGGATACTTTTTTCATGTTGATATTGAGTGCATCATTCAAACATTAACTTTTTAACTTATGCTTTTTAACTTGTATATATTCTGTATTTATTCTGTTTTTATTGGTGTGCACATCGGGGGGCCATTGGGCTGGAGTCAAATTTTATGTTTGTTTAGACTGGAAAACGTATGTGAACCCCTTTGCTAATGACATCAGCATAAGCTATTTGAAGTTAGGAGTCCAGTCACTGAAATCTGGATTAGGCTACTCCAGGGCTGCCCAATATGTCAATCGTGATCAACCAGTTGATCGCAAAAGTAGTGTCAGTAGATCTCGTGTCAATATAATGAATGCTTTCAAACGAAAAATGCAACATTTTGTGGAACTTCCAAAACCTCGCATCAGAGCTGGAGACGCAACAGAAAGCATGTGCGCAACTTGACATTGCACGCTACACAAAGTAGATTGACAACTGACAGTCAGATTTTGACAAATGCATTCAAGACTTTGCCTCACACGAGCCAGTCTCTACATTTATGTATTGAGGTTGATTCACTCGCATCAAAAATTGCAACACTGTTTCACCTGAACTGGTCTGGAGTGGAGGATGAGATACTGACACTGAGATTGACATTCAGCTGAAGTCCAGGGCTAATGGACCGTTTTGGAACTTACAGAGCAAAAGTACCCAAACATGAAGAAATGTGGCATTGACTGCATTATTTGGCTCTACTTATTTGTGTGAGTCAGCATTTTCTCACATGGAAATTATTAAGTCCAAATACTGCTCCACCATGACTGATGACCATTTGGAAGTCTGCTTGAGGCTGGCTACCAGCAGCTACTGTCCGGACTATGCAGCCCTGGCTGATTCCATTCAGTGCAAGTCATCAGAGTAAAGTAATGGCTAGAAATGTACTGAATTGCAGTGTGCCTTAAAGGTTCATGCAGTTATGCAAGGTGTGCCAACATATATTGTGTTTATATAAAGTATATTCAGTATATTTATAAATAAATATATGTTTAGTATTTTTAGTATAGGTAGATCATTTTGACTTGGTCATTTGAAAAGCTTGCAAGGCGAAAAAGCATGGGCACCCCTGGGCTACACTGACTTGTAAAAACACTGCTTTTCAGTTTTCTGTTGAGTGGCTATGTGCAACATGCCTTGCATACACCTAGTCAGCCGGCCGGCTTGAGCCCAGTATCTGTGAGGCAATGCTACTCAACACTGTGGCACCCCATTTAGTTTTAGTATTTTAATACGTTTCTTTAGCCAACATCTACAGGAAGATTTGGATTGTTGACTACTGATATTAATCCTGAAACTTACCTCTTCCTTTTGATAGCAGCATAAAAAATATGACTGAAAATAACATTAATCACAGTGTTCAATGATCATTTAAATATTTTACCTTTTAATAAATGTTGGCAAATAACACATACATGTCTCAGACCCCCTTACTTGACAGCCTGCAGGTCTCAAATGGCATTTCAGGGGGTCTCAGAAATGTGCCTAGTTATTTTCTATTTATCTTCACAACATTATTATTTGCATGTAACTTTATAACCATTTGTTTTTAAAATAATGCAATAAAAAATATTGTAATCACTGTTATGGTTTTGTAACAAAAGTGGTGTCCGCCAGAAACTGACTATGCTCCTCAAGAGCATGTGCAGCTTCTTAAAGATGCATAACCCACTTTATCTACACTGACAACTACTTTTGGTGAGATCATAACATGTCAAAGCAGACACAACATATATCCCATGTCAAATGCAAAGGATGGCTTTGTGAAATTTGATTGCTTGAGGAAATTGTAACTGAACAGTGGCAGTGTACAGTGAGGTAAACTGACTTTACCTGCTGCCTGTAACATGATTGACTGGGACATCTTCAGGGTGTTTGTTAATTATCATGGCTCATAAGCTGCTTTCATGTTATTTTGTTCACCTATCTATTTATTGTATCTGAATTAAGTTTCAGATCTGTGAGCCTCAAAGACAGGCTAGAGATCACCTTCTCACCTCAGCAGCCTCTTTTCCTTGCCCCCGGTTAAAAAAGACCCCCCCAAATGCACAATTTAATTCACACCTGGACTATATCCTATAAGGACAGATGGTGTGTCATGACACCTGCCAGCCCTTTCTCATCAGATTCATATCTACAGTATAGCCATGTACAGAGAACTAGTTTATTTATCATATTTGAAAGTACTCTTTCGAAATTATTATACATTTCATAATTCAGATAATTTCATAATTTCTGGCAGTTGTGGATTTAAGGGTTAATTTTGATTTAGTGTGGCTGTTAATTATATTTGGGTATCTGTTCTTGTGCTTCCCAGTCTGGACTGTTTGGACTGTGATAAAATTGGTCTGAGCAGTTTCAGTGCAAACGCAATATCGGGTCAAAATGAGCACCAGAATTACACTGCACTGCCTATTCAGCATAAACATGACCTCAACTATACTTCTTCTCCCACTTCAGCATAAATGAATTCATTCATGGCACACCAATGTGCCAAAAAAAACTTGTACCCAAGAAAAATTGTGTTGAAGGTGTGTCCGCTTTGCAGTTTCAGGAAAATAGAGCCCTTAGAGTCATTTAAGAAAAAATTAGGAGCACCAGCATATACAGGCTATACAGTCAGTCAGCTTGTGCTAACTCTTGTTTTTGCTCCTGGAAGACCAGTGCATCAAAATGTAAAATGTACTGCTCTTCTGATCTCTGCTGTGCTAGCTAAGGCAGCTTGTAAATATAAATAAATGTTGGTTTTGCCTCAAGCAAACATTCTGTCATTCATTCTACTGTTGGATAAGAGGTAAAATACAGTAAGGTTCTGATTTTGGAAAGGGAACACTGTGTAAATGAATCACAGAGTAACATGGGTTGCTGAAATGATACAGGGAGCTAGGATGTAGTATCCTTAAAAAGAAGGACAGTAGATTTGATGAGTAATGCAGAGAGTTTAGGAGTTGCTGTAATAGTGCTGTGGTCTCTCCTCAGGTGGCAGGGAGGAAGGGTTTTCCTCATGTGATTTATGCACGGCTGTGGCGCTGGCCTGACCTCCACAAGAATGAACTCAAGCATGCCAAGTTCTGCCAGTATGCCTTTGACCTGAAGTATGACAATGTGTGTGTCAACCCCTACCATTATGAGAGAGTGGTGTCTCCAGGCATTGGTAGGTCAGATTCATACTTCCACAACTGAGTGGGGCTTCACAGGTTTTTCTGGGTTAATAGTGTTTGATTTTATCATTGACAAATATTAGTGAGATTAGTTCATCAAACTATGAAGCTTCATTATTGGTATAGCATCTCAAGTCATGTTTTCACATCTTGTTCTCTCTTTTCTCTGACAGTTGGTCTCAGTCTTCAGAACACAGGTGAGCTCTGTTCTACAGCATCACATCATGGTTTAATTCAGGATAATGCAAACTGGTGCCACTTCATTTCGTGGTACCCATGTGACCAAACTTGTTGACCTTCTGGTGCAACAGTTAGACCAAGAGTTCATTAAGTCAACAGTATGAATGCAGTTGTAACTTTTGTTAAAGTCAGGTCTGATTTTTTAATGTTGTCACTGTTATCAATAGAACATGTGCAATGTTAAGGGAGCAAGTATACACAATAAATCAGACTAGTAGCGTCCTCTAATTGAGCATACAGTATATATATAATGTTAGACTGACTGCCAGTCTGACACAGAACAGGAGGAATGTTGTTGAAAAGCGGTGTCATTTTGTGTCTGCTCATGCAGAACAGCTTCACCTTGATATCCTACACCTGGCAAGAACTTTTATATATCTGTTTACACCACTCCAGCAGTTTTATCTCCAATCTTCGACTCACCCCTGAAATCTCCAAAACATCGGAGGTCATGCACCCAACCCGGCTGGGTGGCGGCACTTGCGGGCAGCGTCGAGATCGTAAACAAAGGCGTGGAAAGCACTAAGGAGTTAGAGCTAAGCTAAAGCGAACACCAAATCAACTCTCTTTACCCAGCATTTCCTCGCCAATGTGCGGTCATTGGTGAACAAGATGGATGAAATATGACTTCGCATCACCAACAGACTTATGGACTGCAATGTTATGATTTTCACTGAAACCTAGCTAAACAGCAACATACCTGACAGTGCTATCACGCTAGCTGGATGCTACTCACACTGGGCAGATAGAACGGATGTGTCCAGTAAGACCAGAGGTGGATGATTGTGCATTTATGTTAACAAAGCTTGGTGTTTGAACTCTGTCATCACTGAGAGACTCTGCTCAGCTAACCTGGAATCTCTTATAGTTAAGTGTAGACCTTTTTATCTGCCCAGGGAATACACGACAATAATAATTGCAACTTATATTGCCCCGGAAGCTAATGCTAAGCTTGCTGTGAACAAACTTCATGCGGCAATTAGCAAACAACAGACGGCACACCCAGAGACTGCATTTATTGTTGTGGGTGATTTTAATTACTCCAACCTAAAGTCAGTGCTCCCTAAATTCCACCAGCATGTTTCCTGCCACACTAGAGGAAATAAAACTCTGGACCATGTTTACACAAACATGGCTGCTGCATACAAAGTGCCCCCCTCCCCTCCCCCACTTGGGACAGTCAGATCACCTTTCTTTTTTCCCCATTCCCAAGTACTCATCACTCATCCGCCATGTGAAGCCATCAATGAGGATCATCAAAGTGTGGCCAGAGGGGACAGACAATGTACTTCAGGACAGGTTTCACCACATGGACTGGAGTATGTTTGCCTCCTGGGCTACCTGTGACTCTCACATAGACATTTACACCTACACTTCCTCTGTGCTGGACTTTATTAACACTACCATTGACAGTGTCACTACCCAGAAACAGATCACCACGTACCCAAATCAGAAACTGTGGATGAACAAGGAGGTGTGGCTCCTGCCCAAGGGCCTCTGCCTTCAGATCTGGTGATGCACAGGCCTACAGCTTATCCTGGGCCAACCTGAGGAGCGGCATCAAGAAGGCCAAGCACCACTACAACCTAAAGGTCAAGGAACACTTCACAAACTCTGACCCCCAATGTATGTGGAAAGGCATCCAGGTCATCAGTGACTACAAGCCCGGCAACTCCACCCCAACAACCACAGATGTTTCCTTCCTCAATGAGCTAAATGACTTCTATGCTTGCTTCGACTGGGACAATAAGGAGACAGCTATCAAGTTCACACCCATTGCCATGAAGTGCTTCGCGCACCCAGTCCTGGTACACCTGATGACCTGTCTCCCACCCAAACTGTACCCCCACCAATTTGCCTACCACAGGAATAGGAACATGGAGGATGCAGTCTCCATAGCACTGCACTCTGTACTCAGTCTCCTGAACAACACTTATGCAAGAATGCTGTTCGAGGACTTCAGCTCATCATTTAGCACCGCCATCCCTTCCAAGTTAACCACCAAACTTGGTGACCTGGACATCAACACCTCCTTCTGCAACTGGATTCTGGACTTTCTGACCAACAGGCCTCAGCATGTTAGGTCAGACAACACCTGCTCCTCCACCATTATCCTAAAAACATGTGTACCACAGGGCTGTGTGCTAAGCCCATTCCTCTACTGCCTTTTCACCCACAACTGCAGGCCTGTGCATGGCTCCAACACCATCATCAAGTTTGCAGATGACACCACAGTGATCGGCCTCATCAGCAATAACGATGAGTCATCCTACAGTGAGGAGGTACAGCACCTGGCTCTGTGGTGTGATGTGATGACAATAACCTGCTCCTTAACACCAACAAAACCAAGGAGCCCATTGTGGACTACAGGAGGGAGAAAGGAGACACACACGACCCCATCCATATTAATGGGATGGTGGTGGAACATGTCTCCACCTTCAAATTCCTGGGGACCCACATCTCAGGGGATCTGTCCTGGATCACCCACAGCCTGTTTAAGAAGTATCACCAGCCCCTCTTCTTCCTGAGGACACTGAAGAAGAACCACCTGTTTTCAGCCATCCAGGTGAACCTCTACTTCTGTGCCATCGAGAGCATCCTGACCAGCTGTATCACAGTCTAGTATGGAAACTGCTCTGTCTCCGACCACAAGGCGGGAACGCTGTTTTCGATGTGCTCGCAACATTCTCAAGGACTCCTCTCACCCTGCTCACAAACAGTTTGACCTCCTGTCCTCTGGGAGGAGCTTCAGGAGCCTCCGGACCAAAACCAGTAGACTCAGTAGACTTCCCCACAGCTATCTCCTTACTGAACTCTGTAACCCCCCTATACCACTACACACGCCTCACCCCTTCTCATCTCTCCTGTAGTACCTGCAACACTGAAGTGAGCTGTTAATTTGCACATACTCTACTTTCACTGTTGTTTCCTGCCTCTGCGGTAATCCGTACTCATTTCCTGTTTTCTGTATTTGCACTGCGTTGTGCTTGCTTCCAGATTGTTTAGGAATTAAACTCACTATTTTCTAGGTTCATCTGAATTTTTGAGTGACAACATACACTTGCACCACTTAAAGCACTTGTGTTGCAGAAGTTCTTGCTAACTACCAAATTTAACTTGCTACTTTAGGTCGGCTAGTTTAGAAGCTAGCTAAGCTAGTAGCTTAATCGAGAGCAATGGCTTCCCCCTCTTCCTCTCCTCCTTTCTCTTGCTCGGAGTGTCGCATGTTCAGTTATTCCTCTGCCTCCTTTAGCGATAATGGTACTTGTAATAAATGTCACATGCTAGCAGCATTGGAGGCGAGGCTCACAGACTTAGAAGCG